CGGTTGCACCTGTGGTATGTAAAATGGTATTTTGATTGTTGATTTTCTTCAGCGGCTGTCCTTATTTAATGACCTAACAAGGGGTTAATTATAAACAGAGGCCCTCTTCTCAGAGGTGCCTGCAGATACTTCCCTACAGGCCACCTGTCATTTATCACTTCCTTCCTTCTTATTGGCCACAACTGAACACACTGACCATCAAAATTTGTTCCTCACCAACTAGTGCATTCTAATCCATCTTAAGTGAAAGACCTTGTTGTTAGGTACTTGTACATTTTTTTTTCTTGTGGACTACTTAAAAGAAGTAAATCTCATTTACTTGTGCCTGTACAAAGCCTGTGGGATTTAAACTATCAGAGACAATGAACCACTGCAATAATTGTTTTCATTCTCCATTAATTTTTCCCCTTTAAGTGTTTCTCTCTTTCTTACCAAACATCACTTTAAACTGTGGAGAGAAGCACTAAGGGTGTCACCCTTTCCTTTACTTCGTATTTCGTTTTCACCAGCAAGTCTTTTCAGTAAAGCCCACATGGCAGGTGGAGGGGAAGACACAAGGAAGTTAACAGTGACAAGAGTTCAAGTTGGCTTAAAACTAAGGAACTGGGCTTAGGGAACCTAAGTGACTTAGATCACAGAAAAAGCGAAGGGGATATTGTTTGTCTAAGGGCTCTGTGCTAAAGCTCCCCAGCTTGAGCACAAAAGGCATTTCAGCAGTATGTGGTCCAGAAAGCCAAGCACATGAAATCCTATTTCCATGTTTTAAGCATGCCTTGGCAGTCTGCACATTTTTGAAATTGCAACTGGCGCATTTCACAGAGAATTATCATCAATGCCTTTTCAAGGTCAAATGTGCTGCCTTTTAGAATTTCTGGCATTTATATCCCATATATTAAATCACAGAATATATTTTGAAGGCATTCAGCAGACAGATGAAGTAATTTTAATTAATTAGATGATGTTTATTAATACCTCGCTGATTTTTTTTTACTTGATATTAATTATGAGGCAAAAAAGAGAAAGAAAATAAAAAACTATAATACGTGTTCGATTTAAATGTGGGTGTTCTATGTTTTGAAATATCCCAGGATCCCTCAAAAGCATGTTTGAATAGAACCCAGTTGATGGACATTCTAAAAAATGGACATTTTTTCATTGGGAATTTTGAAGTGATGTGATTTAAAAAAAAAAAAAAGCACACATTGAGGAGAGATTATCATCATTTGAAAATTGCCACTCCCCTGGGATACTGGTCCTTATATGAACAAAATAAAACTGAATTCAGACATTAAAATGATTCCTAGACTATACTGTTTGAGGAGATGCCATAGCCAGTCCACTCCCAAGGCAGTGAAGGAGGCTTTTAGACTCCTCCTCAAACAGAGGCATTGCTGGTCTGGCTTTGTTCACTTTTTTCCCTCTCTAAGCAAGTCCCGAGTCACATTCAAAGACATCTATGCCATTTTGCTTTCCATGGGCTTAGCTTTTGGAAAAGAAAAGTGACTTGGAGAAGTTTCAACAATTTTGGGCTCTCATAGGATTCTTACACTTCCAAGATATTTACACATTAAATTAGAATTCCAGAAAAAAAGATTTGGGTTAGGGTTGAATAAAGAACTGAGTTATAAGTAGCAAGACACAAACCATATCTTTTAATTTCTAAAACATTCAAGTGTTATGGCACAAGAATTAATGTTATTTTGGATGTGATTGTCTGTTCCTGGGTCTAGAGCATGCCCCATAATTCTCACGGTGATGCACACTTGGTCATTTTTACATTACCATCGGGTCTCTACTGGGTGTGAGTGGCTCTCAGACTGCTTACCTCTGTAAGTCTTTTGTGACTTCCCCTTTCAGATCTGGAGTGGGAGAGGGCTGGACCTTAGTCTTTTCCCTGGCATATTGTGTTACACTGAGAGCTGTCCCAAGCTTCTGGGTCCTACCCTGCACCTGTAGCTACAATGAAACATCTAGCAGAGCAGGAAGAAGGGCATGTTCAATGAGTCTCTCTCTCTGTTTCCTTCCCTGCTGGATCTCCTCCAATGTTGTGGTTCTGACATTACTCAGTCTTCCTTTGTGGCCCTCTGACTACATGTATTGGGTTCTTCCACTGTCCTTATCTTGTGGGATTTCAGGTACCTAGGGGAATATTTCCTGGGTTTTTGATCACTTTAAAATTTAAGTCCTCTCTCTTCCACTTTTCCTCCCATGAGGTGTGCACCCTCGACCCACCCTCTTCTCTCCCTCTTTCCTATCTTTCTTTTTGTCTCTCTATTATAATAAAACATTTCTATGTGGGAAAAAGTATTTAAGTCCTAGGTGTCCTTGTCCTGTAAGCTCATGATTTCAAAGTCTATGGAAGATTAAGATATTTCTCACTCTTACCATATAGAACTTTTATTTTGTTCTCTACCCAAAGTCCTGGGTCTTTTCTCCAAGCCTCTATGCAGAATATCTACCTGAGCCATTAAAAGGCTTTACAACATTTTTCATACCAAAACAGTCTTCCATTTCCTGCTATTTGCTTAAATTCGATTCACTTTCAGTTTTTGCTATTTCTTTCTTTTTTTTCAAAATATTTTTATTTTATAATTGATTTAATTTTTCATATCAGTCACAGATTCCCCTGTCCTCCCTCCTCCCACCACCCAGCCTTCCTCCCGAATCCACCCCCCATTTTCACCTCCTCCAAGGCAAGATCTCCCCTGGGGAGTCAGTCCAACCTGATAGATTCGGTTGAGGCAGGTCCAGCCCCCTCCTCCCTTCACCCAGGCTGAGCAAAGTGTCCCTGCATAGGCCCCAGGTTCCAAAAAACCAGCTCATGCACCAAGAACAGGTCCTGGTCCCACTGCCTGGGGGCCGCCCATACAGTTCAAGCTACTCGACTGTCTCACTTATCCAGAGGGCCTGCCATTTTAAATAGAAACCACATCCTGCTAGTTCAAGCAATAATGGCATACACAGGGAGCAACAACGGGCCAAGGAGGAGCTCCTTGTCATTCATTCTCCACACTCTGTGCCTAAGTCTCATCAATCCAAAAGTTCATAAGGTTTCCACAGTGTAGCTACCTTACCCCTTTTCACCACAGCCATCTTAGTTCCAACCACCATCGGTTCTAATAAATTAGCACAAAGCAGGAGAGTCAATTTACATGTGATGTTTATTCTATTCTCAAGCTATGCTAGACTTAACTCTAATGTATAAGGTGAAAGTCAATGCATACCATTTTCAGGTTTTCTTTTCAGTTTAGTAAGTGATCTGGGCTACCTTGTGTGCTTTGTAACACAGGAGGAGAAAGCAATCTGATGAACCCAGCAAACTGAGCTCAAGTTCACACAACCCCATCTCTGACACATCGCTCATAATGGAGTGACAGGCTTTTGATGTGTCTCCACCTATCTGTATATTTGCTCCCAAGTGCCTTAGACTTCAGATTTCCACCCCATTCTTCATGCCTCTTTAAACACATGCCAGTAAAGCCCTTGAAACTTAGCCACTTCTGTTGTCACTGTGTTTGGATATTTATGCTGAATCCTAGTAAAGGCGACTAATGAAACATGGAAGCTGGTGGGATAGATGTGTACATTGTGGTGCTAGGAAGAACCAACAGGATGTTGCAGTAAATCAGTCTGTTTGTTCACTTTTAAAACAATTAATTGGTGATTTGCAACTGCAAGATTGCAGAACTTTAAATTGTAGTGCTATTATTCTCTAGAAATTATGTAACAGATTCTTTTTGCTTTGGATTTTTAAAAACTCAGCATTCAAAATTAGTGTAAAATGCTCATATATAAGCAGAAGTATATTATAAATGCTACATAGGAAAAAATAGTATAAAAAGGTACTTTGCATACTAGAGCAAAGAATCAATTTTAAACTGAGTAAAATTTTAATAATTCAGAAGTAAAACAGTATATTCTTTCAAAATACTCTTCTAAAACATCTTTCTAGTTTTCTGTCTCCTTCCCTACTCTTTCACTCTATCCCTCCTCTTTTTCTCCTTCCATCTTTCTCTAACATGTAAAATTGTTTCTTTAAATTACAAGTTTCGTGCAACATGGCCTTGCCTCTTTATAACCTAAATAATTGAACTTGAAAAAAAATATTTTCATTTCCTTAATATCATAATCTTCCCAGAGAGTATGTGACTGAGATATTAGATGGAAATCCTCTATGAAATATCCAAATGTCCTATCACTATTCAATCATGCAGATAACTGAAAAAAAGTAATTTTCATCAACTTTTTGAATTTTTGAACTTAGCAAATGAACTCCATCAATAAAACAGGATTTCACACAGCAGCTTGTGACTACGGGGAAACAACCTGCTTTATTGTTCTGTAAAAAACAAAACTTGTGTATCATTCCTTTGTGTGCATACACCAGGAGCTTAACCTCTGTTTGCAAGGCTACAGTCTGGTTTATTAGGTTGTCACTAGTAGGTGTTACATCATGAAAACAATTTTTTGAACAAACTTGGAACCCTTGGTACCAAACCAAGAGGTGTAATCACCATAAAATTGCTCAGAAGCATACACTAAGGATTCAAAGTGTCTTCAGAGGCCCATACATATCTAATAATTGACTAGTCTTGGTCTTATTCTAGGAAAAAGATGAACTCTATTTTAAGGTAAGAACTATAAACATAGGCCATTAAAGGTGGACAGTCTCATAAAACTCTAACTGCTAAAAGTGTGTTTGTGCTCCCTGGTGCTTTTACCAAGAGGTTGTTCAACACAAACTTTTATGGAGAGAAAATTGAATTCTCTCCCTAGCCCATCTGTACCTCCATATGAACAAAGCACAAGCAACAAGTAACTGTTGTTAACTAAGGCCAGGATCTGCCAGAAGGATGGATGGGCTTTTGGTAGGGTCCAGGTGTCCCTTTCACTATGTATTCCGCCAAGACTCTGACCATCCCCTTCTTTGCCAGGTGTCAGCAACACAATCTTAGCAGGAACTGTAGACTCCCTCATGGAATGCAGTGATTTATACTTACCGTTTGATTGTTTCTTCCTGTCTTCGCCGTTTCTCATTCTTCTCTTTCAGGTAAGCCAGATTTGTTTCATTTCTCAAGCGATCATTCTCGCGAGCAATGTCGGATGCGTTTTGAATAACCAGACCGTCATATGCCTTCATCCCCATGTCCTCAATATACTGGAGAAAAGTGTCCAAAGGGTCTTCTTCGGGATTAGCACTCATCATCTTGGAGGGTATCATGGAAACGGGATGCGTCCTGAAGATTGACAACACATCATACACTTAGCAAGGGTGTTAAGGTTTGCCCCTAAGATTTTGTCATCTCATATCTCAAAGGAGTTACCAGGCTCCTCAGGATGTATGTAGCTCTGATGAGTTATAATACTTAAGCTAAGGGTCATTGAGATAATTCCATGGGTAAAGGGGCTTGCTAGCAGGGCTACCAACCTGAATTCCAACCCCAGGATCCCTATAGTGGTAGAGCATAACTTCCTTTCTAAGTTGACCTTTGATCTCCACACACACACCATGGCATACGTGTTCATCTATGTGTACTCCTGCACCATAAATAATTAATGTCTTTAAAATGTATTTAAGATATAGTAAGTTAGAGAATAAAGTTGTTATAGAATCCCATTAAGGAAAATAATAGAGTTAAAAAGGATTATGTCCCATTCATATTATATTAGATCTCTGTGTTCCCTTGAATGAAGCTGAATTTTATATAAATAATACAGATTTATACATTTTAAGTTTTCCAATAAAGAATATTCCTCATTACAAATTACAAGTTCCCATAGTATTTGAAACAACATGAAATGTGTACTATTTGAGTATCAGATGCTCCATCAACTCAGCAACATTAGCAAGGACGAAGGACCACAGTTCTGCCCTGCCACCTGTGAATGTGTAAACATTGTGTCTGAAGATAGATATTTGGTTTGTATGAAGACAGACGTAACTTTGTTTCTCAAAATATGTTGTTATAATAACATAGATCCAAATTTTGTATTTTCATTATCATGATGACATTTCCATGTATATTTAAATTAAAATAATGTTATGATGTAGAAAAATTAAATTACATTTTCCTTTAAATACTTACGTGAAAATGTATAAATCCAAAATGGCCATACAAAATATAATTACAACCAAAGAAAAACACACATTTGCCATATAATTTGTATACTTTTGAGACCCTGTGTTATTTTCAAAATGGCCCTCTATAAGTGTTTCATATGATAATTTTCTATGATATATATTGTGTGTTTTCAGAACCACACACATTCTCAGCAGTCTGATAACACTAGCTTTGATATTATTATAGCATTGATAATTAAAACTTTGAAAAACTTAAGTCACAGGTCTAATAGCTTGACAAATCAAAACCAAATCAAGCCATAGTTTAAAACATGGAACTTTGACATGGTGCATCTTGCTTTCATAAGGGAATGAAAAAACTCTCACTACCTGCTGCAACTTGTAGAAGAGATGGCTGTGAAGAATTTAGCATAGAACTCAGCAGTAGTATGCACATTAAAGTGCACAAAGATCACAACAATGTTAGTGAAGAAGCTTGGCAAAAACATCCATGTGAAGTATATGTGTGCATTGATGGATGTATGCATGACAGATGGGTGGACAGACAGGCAAGTTTTAGAAATCATCATGTTTTGAAGAACTTTCCAAGTATTCACAATGAGTTAAAAAACTGCTTTAACAACAATAAAGAACAAAATTATATAAAAATAAAAATTAATCTTCTATGTTAATAAGACTTATTTAATTTCGTATTCACTGTGGCATAGAAAATGGATATAAGTAAGTGGAGTGTGGGATATGTCTGTCATGTTTAGAGACCCTTTCTCTAAACAAATAAAAATTTATAAAGTACCTTACAACTTTTACTTCCTTTAAAAAAAAATCATTGAACTGTTGATCAGTCCATCTATTTACTGCAAAAGTCAAGCAGTTTCTTTTTCTAAGTATACATCAAAATCATCCTAAAATGAAAATCATATTTTATAACCTGGGTTGTAGATATAGATATCTCAATTCATATCAGCATTTATTAGCCTTTTAACTGACAGTTAACAGTTAACCCAAATTTGAACCTCATGCTGAATTTACAGATTTCTTTCTCAGTCTTTGATATTTTAGGAACTGGAGGTTGTTTGTTGGCTTTATATTAAATTTTTATTATGTTATGTATTAATTATTTAATTTAAAAATTTAAATTTGTATTAAATTTTTATTATGTTATGGGTTAAAAAGACTGACTAGTCTTTTAATTTCAACTTTATACTATATTGAATTATATATAACATAATTGAATTGTATTAAGATTACATGCTTAAGTGGTGAGCACATAGGAGAGAAGAAAGTGACTGCTGTGAACAAATTCCATGTTGATGGGAGGGATTCAGGAGAGTATCTTTCAGGTATCTAAAGTATTGCCATTACCGGAAATTCACTTGCATCAGGAACATCTGCAGTAGGTACTCCAGGCTAAAAAAAGACCAGCCTAACTTTATGACAATTAATCTTGCCTAAGTTAAGCAAGCCAACTCAGTGTTATAAGCCTGCTAGAGATAACACCTCAGGCTAGAATGATTCCTCCCACTCTGCCCTCCAGCAAAACTGTATTTTTTCCAGGTGCAAGAAGCATTGGTATCCAAAGGGTTGTATTTTAGTTATTTATTTTACTGAGGATTTCTACCAACCCTAGTGATTCTTCTACAGTTTACATATTATAATTATGTATAATCAACAAGGTAGTGGATTATTTCTGAACATTAATTATCATTATTAATGGCATTTCAAATTACATGGAGTTAAGTTGTTTTGAGAAAATGTAAAAAAAATATTATTGCAAAATGTTTATACATGGGAAGTTTATTTTTTAACTCACATGGATTTTTTTTCAGATGAAAATCAATCCTATTGTCAAGTCAAACTCCATATTATTAAAAAGGGTTACATGTTTATGTATGTGCCCATATCCACCTCCAGGAAAGTGTTGGTCATATGACCATCCATCTATTTAAGAGTCTATTGGACACCTGCTACAAACAAGGCACTGATGAAAGCCAAAGTATAATCTTCTAGATGTCACATTGCAGGAGACTAGAATAATAATTACATCTCATCTGATTCTCATACTGTTTACATCGTCATCTGGCCATGAATTCTTTATTTCCCATATTTTGAGGATAAATGGGTATAGCTTCTCAACATTGACATTTGATCTTTAAAATAAAATTAGCAGCCTGCCAATGATTAAGCTCATAGTATTTTGTTTGCTGTCTCCATGGAAATTAGTTTGTGATGTATGGGGGGGGGCACGAGGGGGACTCTGAAAAAGTCCTATAGGACATAGGTACAAGTTTTTCCATGTGCTCTAAAAATCTCAAATAAGTTGTTTCTAGGACTACATTAACTTACATTAACAAAATGATGGCAGCTGGAATGGACTATGCCATGAGAATTTGATTTTTAAAAAGTATATGTATGTGTTCAACAAGTATGGTGATATTGCTAGGCGAGTCTTTCACAAACTCTTTTTATTTATTTATTAATTTTTATTTATTTATTTATTTATTTATTTATTTATTTATTTATTTATTTATTTTTGTTTTTCGAGACAGGGTTTCTCTGTGTAGCTTTGCGCCTTTCCTGGAACTCACTTGGTAGCCCAGGCTGGCCTCGAACTCACAGAGATCCGCCTGCCTCTGCCTCCCGAGTGCTGGGATTAAAGGCGTGCGCCACCACCGCCCAGCCACAAACTCTTTTTAAATCAAAAATTTTTATTACATTCATTTGTGGATCTTTTTTCATTGAAAGGTATATGATGCATGATTCTACAACTTCTATAAGAAGGTCAGAGGACAACTTGAGACAACTGGTTATCCTGTGGGTCAAGGGGATCTTACTCAGGTTGTCAGGCTTGGTGGCAAGTGTCTTTATCAGATGAGTCATCTGTCACCCACCCCCTATTGGTGTTTAAAATAAACTTGTTTTTAAAATGCTTACTAGTGATTTTATTTTTGTGTTTCTATGTGTATATGTATGTTTATGTGTGTTTGTCCTAAGTAATATATCCACATGTTTCAAAGTAAAATTAGTTTAGCAAGGAGTCATGTTGTTAAATATAATAATTTCCACAGTTACAAATTGGCAGGGCCTGAATGGTGGCTCAGAGGTAGAGGCACAGTTGTGTGGCTTTATGACCTAAATTCAATCCTTGATCCTACAGGCAGTAGGAAAGAATAGACTAGTAAGAACTGATGTCTGACCTATACATTCATGCTGTGGGAAGCATGCCTGAACACAAACACACACACACACACACACACACACACACACACACACACACACACACACACACACCCTTCCTTCATCACAGAAGTTGACATGAGAGTAAAACTAGGAGTTAACATATTTCTTCATTAATCAAATAATTTGTAATAAAGACACTTATGCACGCCACCTCTTATTGTCCAAATCGAGAAAACAAGGGCACTAGGATCTATGGCCCACAATGCTCATTCCATTTTAAACCATCCACCTTTGACTTTCCAAGCTGAAGGATATGTTTCAGATGAATGAACTATAGCTTTCTCATAGTGAACAGATTCAATAGCAAATTGAACTGTGTTAATTGTCTACCTTGTTATATCCACTACTATTTACTGCAATTAGCATGAAAATTCAATAAATCATGAATATGTTTTCAGAATTCATACTCATGGATAAGATAGATGTTGAGAAAGGTATGTTCCATGTCTAGCCCATCTAAGACTTGACTGTAGTTCCTGCCTCTTAAATTGCAATTCTGTTTAAATAGACACAGAATTCCTCAGTCTTAGGAAATACTGTTAAAATGCAGCTGGGCTCTTGTGTTCTATGTAGCATTGTTAGGGTTTCCTCAGTAACTAACCATCTCCCTTACTTGGCTTCTAATTAGACATAGAAACAATAGAATGTAAAAGGTTGAAAGAGAACTTCTGTATTCCTATGACCACCAATAACATTGTGCACCATGTTTTTTGTTTAAAATAAATGAGAGAATTTTGCTGCCCATCTATATGCTTGCAGCTATGTGTCTTCATTCTAAGAGTAGATACACTTTCTTTGGAAGCCCCAGCACTGATCCAAATAGTGAAGTGCTATGTATGTATTTATTGGAATTTGTGGCTAATTTAAAAATCATATCAGGGATCCTCCAGGGATAGTAGGTTAAATTACCAGATCAAATCCCATGAAATACACAGTGAAATTCAGGTCTTTACTGTGTGACTTCCTATACTTCTATGCTCTGCATTTTCCAGAGATTCTGTTCATTTAATATTTAGATTACTGTGCCTACAATCATGTCTTACCAAAGCTATAGATATTGAGTTAAATATTAAAGTGGATGACTATTTTTTCAGCTTTACATTACATTACTCTTACACTTTGTTACTTATAACCTGTTGACCACACCCTTCACAAAGACTACATTGTATAATATTGTGACATTTTCTAAAATTTGAGGTTTCACTTAACTAACATGCACTAATTAAATTCTTACCATGACCAAGAGAAATAAACTAAGCATTTAACATTGAATTGAGCTTTACACACACACACACACACACACACACACACACACACACACACACACACATATATATATATTTTACACAGCCATCACTGTTCCTGACAAGGCTGAATATAAAGCTGATAGTGATATTAATTCTTCACAAATGTTCACACAGAAATAAAACTCTCCATCACCAAACCCACAGCAAAAACCATGTAGATCCAAATGAAATCGATAGAAACATAAAATTAAAAAAAAATACCATTTTCTTCCTCCCTTTCTGTAGTTGATACTTTCATCAAGGAAACTCAAGTGCCAAGCCATTCTGTAACACTTAGTAGTAAGGAGAAATTTAAAAATAGGGAGTGCTTTTGAAAAATAAATGCATACAAATTTCTCCAAGAGCATGTGCTTCTGTAGCATTTCCCCTCCATTAGTGAAGAAACCCACTCTGTGTGGTGTCAGTCTACAGAGTATTTAATACAGCACCCACTCATGGTGAGAGTGAGTTCCTCAAAGCCACAGGCTGGTGTGGGAGAGAAGTCACACAGAAAGAGTCAAGTGACTATTTAGGCTGCCTGGTTCTTTCTCATCTACATCTAAGCATCTCTCATCATCCCTTTGTCTAAAATTCTCAACCAATTCCTCAATTAGTATAATTTTCTGCGTTGCTAGGTCCACCACCCCACCTCTGTAAGGGTGGACCTGATGGAGGGGCACACTCACTCAATAAGACTGAGCTCTGTGATAAACCTGATAGTTCCACTTACCCAAGTAAAAGTTTCGTATGTACCAGCATCCTTTGAGTGAACTAGCCTCCTGGGCACTGGTGTTTTGTTTTCTTTGTAAACTATTTACCCCAAATTTCTAAAATGAAGCTGTCCTCCACATGAGATTTGGCTTTTCAAAGATACAGAGTGGTGGCAACTTGTTTAATCTTTATTTTCCCACCTATATTGAGTGAATAAGAATGAAAAACAACTCTGAATTGGAAGTAAATTGTTTCTCCGTATTTAAAGTCTCATAAGAATTTCTAAATTTTAGGCCATAGCAAATACTGAAAAATAATCTTATCAGAATCAGGTAGAGTTTATTTTATGCTATTATCTTAATGTAATTTGTGATATGCTGAAACATCCTAATACATAGGAGAGAATAAATGCCTTGATAAAAGACTGGATACTTGACCCTGACTTTATACTTATGTTTCAATTTATTTGCAGATAGTGCAAGATTCTTAGTTTCTATTCTTTATACATTTTTGAGGTTTTCAAAGGATATTTGTCTTAATGCTATATGAAGTTCTTGGAATGTGAGTTATTAAAATTTGATTTTCCCTCTCATTCTCCTCAATCCATCTTCCTTGAGATGGGGAATCCTAGAGGTTTAGGTTGAATGAATGTTTCCTCATGTGATTTGACTGGTTTTTTTTTTTGTGGTTGTTGTTGTGTTGTTGAATTGTTCAGCAATATAAAGACTTTTTACATTATTTGCATCCACTTACACCAATCTAAAATCACATACCACACAGTGCATGTGAAAATATAAGTATTTAGTAATCAGACTTCATATACATATGTTAAATGGATATGCAAATTCCACCTAAAATTTGCTAACTTCATAGTCTAGGACCAAATCAAGACTAGCTAACACGGTTAAAACCCATAAGCCGTGCAAATCATGTCAAAAATATTTCTGCAATAAGAAACTTAACAAACTGTCAAATACTAGTGTCAGAGATTTTGATCTGTGCTTGGAATCCTGTACCCTACCCCACAAATGGTCATGTTCATATTCTCATTCTCAGTGTTCTCAGAATGCAGCTGTTCTGCACAAAACGGGGAGAGAAGTTACCACCAAGAAAGCCTGCAGGAGTCACTACAAAGGCACTGATTGCTTCTTTCTCAGAAAACAGATTTCTTTACAGGGAGTTTTTCTCCACTACCTCCCTCCCCTAAATTGGGAAGTGGGCATAGATCATGCAAATGCAGTAGCATCATGTACCAGGCATCTCCCCCAACTTCCAGGTTGTCATGGTGTCTTTTACCAAAGGTCTTAAAAGATTGGCTACATCCTCTCTAATATTAAAGGCTCAAGCAAAGTGCCAGTGGCTAAGGGACTTTGTGGAGCCTTGGGCCAATTGGTTCCAGACGCTTACAGGGCAGTATTTGCAAAGTAGACATAGTCAATTTAATAAATTGCTGACTGGAGCTACAATGGAAACCATCTAATTGAGTTGATAGTCTATGACTGATTGATTTATTTTAAACAATAACCACAATTCTTTTCCCAGAGATTTTGACACTTCTGTACAACTTTCCAAACCATTCAAGTTTTATAACTCTGCTTGTCCTTTGTAAAATTGTAGCATTTTTCCACAGGTCTGTTTTCACAATTTCCTAAATATTAAGTATCTTTCACAGAATTCTCTTCTTCTCTGAGATGGACAAAAACATGTGCTACTTTTCAAAGTAAAACAAAAGCATTTGTACACATCTGGCTCTTCTTTGCTCATTCATTTTTAAGTTAACACTTAACAATACATCAAATAAATTGGAGTGTGTCCAAAATGTAAAAGTTAAGAGATCAATTTTTGTTCTTGCTCTCTATTCATTATTCTATACTAATTGATTATAAATTGTGGATATTAAAATTACCAAAAATATGCCATATAAACTCTTCCATTAAATGTTCTCAAATTTTTCACTACATTTACAAAAATAAAAAAGTACTCCTTTAGTACAAAATAACTTTAGTATTTTTCAGGAAAGATGAACATTTTTAAACATGATATTTTCCCAGATGTGCAATACCTACCTACATTTCAAATACTGAAAATATTTATGGGTAGTTTTTGGAAAATCAGAATGGAGATATTCCAATGGAATAAGTGCATGTCCCAAGTACAACAAGTCTACCTAAAGTTCTTCAGAAGATGCACATTTTGGTGAGACTAATGAAATCTTCATGATATTGACTGGTATTAAAACACATTTTCAGGAAAGTATCTATTTGGAGTCAGACAGAAATAAGCAGTTTCAGCTTCTAAGTATGCCCAGCAATTTGGATATTTTGTGGTAGAGTGTGTATCTTTCCTTCTGAGAATGCGAAATTGGGCTCTCATTGATGACACCAATGAACAGAGCCCATTGTAAAATATTTATGGTATGGAATTAAGACAAACAGCAGCAAACACAACTTGAATAGCAATTAATGGCATGGAAATACTTTCAATTCTTGTAATAATTCAACATAGCTTATTTTACTAATGGAGATCTATTTAACATTTCCATGGCAATCACTAAGTGGGTAAGGGATTAAAAATAGCCGGGGGCTCACGAACACTGTGGATGCCCATGTTGTATCTTTATTTCTGCTCCACCTAATAAAACATGCAAACTTCAGCATTAAGTATCCCTAACTAAAATCCATCCCATTTCATAACAAATCGCTTCCCCTATTTAGTTCTGGATTTAATTAGCATGCTTATAGAATCTGAAAAATGAGATACATACCAAAAATTAAGTCCCCAGGGAAAGCTAAGTGCAATAGTCAGGAGGTGACTTGGGTCTGTCAGAGCCCTCTCTCAGGGCTGGTCTCGGGGCAGTTCGGTAGGAGTAATCCAGCACCATAAGAAACAGACTTGTAGGTCAGTTCAGCTTTTCTTCAATTAAAGTGCATTATATCTGGATGGGAAAAGTGTTGAATCCAAGATTCTTCATCACTAGAGACCAGAGCATTTTCGATGTTCTTTCTATCAGATAAAATGCCCTTTAAAGTTTGCTAGGAAGATGCAGTGGCAGAAGACAGCTGCTTGCTTCCTTAAATCGACATTCGGAGAAAAGAGGGCATAGCTAATGGGTGGGGATGAGCGCACAGCCCCTCTCCTTCCAGGTCCAGCAGGGAAAAAATTGAATGATTTTACCCACTTTGCTACACAGATGATTACAAGACCCGAAGCAGTCACCAAGCTGGCTAAGGTACCTCATTTGATCATGTTCTGTGAAGACAAAAATAAATGGAAACAAAAATCAGACACGTCCTCTCTAAATGTCTCCTTTCAGCCCCAAAGAAGATGCTCTTTCTCGTCGCATACATACAGAGGGTTTGGAGAAGCATCGTCCCTCCCCCATGACAACCAGCTTGCTCTGGCTCTGGTCTCTCTCTCTCTCTCTCTCTCTCTCTCTCTCTCTCTCTCTCTCTCTCTCTCTCTCTCTCTCTCCTCCCTCCCTTTCCCGGACTCCCTCCCTTCCTGCTTCTCTCCTCTCTCCAGCTGCCTTAGTCTGTTGATGCTGCTGCTGCTGCTGATTAATCAGGGATGCTGAAACAAAGAACCTACCTTCTGAAATAAGCAGTAATCTCTCTCCTCTGCTTCTGCAATCCGCCTGCATTGAACGGCAAAGCTGCCAGCATCCTAGCACCTTGGATAGTTCCCACACCCTAGGCCCACTGGAAAGGGAGACAGAATGACTGAAGAAATGGCAAGAAACCCTGAAAGCAGCACCGATTTCAGCTCCCCGGGGGCTCCCATCCTCATTAAAGGCCTCCCATCCAAGCAACAGAACGTGTCCCTTTTATCTAACTGAGCTAAAGTCTGATTTGTCAATGGCAAAATAAAAAGAGAATAAAGAAACCTCTTCGTTTATATCCACTGTTTAGCATTAAATCAGTCTTTTTGAAGAGAAAAATTTAAATTAATCAAAATATGGTTCTTGGCTGGAGGATAAATTTAAGTTATAAGGTTTTCACCCCAGTGGGGCTAATAAAAATGAGCAACAACTTAAACGGAACTCTCAGATCTCAGTTTGATGCCCTTATTTGATATCAATTTTGCCTCCACCCACCCTGTACAGCAGAGCCATGCACACAATTACTGCTGACGTACTTCAGGCTGCTGCGTTCGGAGAGGGGGGAGGAGCCTTTTAACCTCATCAAAACAGCTTGATGCCACCTGCTCCCGTGGCACGAGAACAAAACTAGTCCACTTGGAAAGGACGTGCACAGTGCACGTATACAGAACAAAGGTCTCCCTGGGACCTCAGTGTCTTAACCAAAGTAAAAGGTACAGGGATCGTGGCATATACACTCCTAACTACTTCAGATTCACTGCAGACATGCTTTAAGCCATTCTGTTTTTTGCCTTTCCCAAAGAGATTCCGGGATTCTTTTTCTAATATTCCACCGATTCTGTGTGCATAATTTTATTTTATATACTATGATGGACAGATGTGTATATACTTGTGTCCACATTTACACAATATATTTATATACTTGTGTGAATATACATATATATTTGATTATATATGACAAATCTAAATTTTCAAGCTTGTTTTTCCTCAGAGTAAATGATGAAAATAGATTTTTAAAAAAATACGTTGTTTGTATATGGTGTAATATGCTGATTCCTGGCTCTTATTCTGTGTAATGACAAGACAAGAAGGCAGAAAGCAGGGAAGGGAGAGGAGAGGGAAGGGAGAAATAAAGGAGTACTATGGTAAGACTAACAATAAGGAACTGGGCTGAAGGAGTTTATCATGAGAAAATGTGTCTGTATTACTGCACAGTGGTCTCGACACTTTTTCCCATGTCACTTTCCCCCAGCAACTTTCATCATCAATGGCTTCTGCTTGCAGGCTGCTCTCCTTTTGAGTTAAACATCTTGATTTATAAGTAATTCCATATGAAAATATCCTTATGTACCGATAAACCATATAGCAGTAATCTTGAGGTCACCTTCCTTATTCCTAAATGAGAAATGGGACTGTGCTATGGTTTCATATGTTTTGTTTTTAGAGTTTAACTTATAAGTATCTGGGGAGAAATAAATTCAACACATTATATTGCTGGATATATCCTAATATATACTACTCTATGTAACGCAACAATCTCTAACACACATTTTAAAGCTCACAGTGGAATTCCATGTCTTTGTGTATCTAGTTTATGAATGGACCAGGATTTCTATTTAATGTAATGAGATGCCCTGGAAGATTAGATATATGCAAAGAAAGGAGAGGAGTATAGGTGGGGAAGGAAGGAGGTAATATCAGATGTGTCTTTCTCAAATAATTTTCCCTCCCTTTCCCAGCCAGCACCGCCCCCATCTCTTGTGTTAAAACCTTAGCACATCTCAGTAAACAGACTCAAGTACCACTTATAATCTGGCAACAGCTCCCATGCTGCGATTGAGAGGTTTACTAATGTGTCATTATTTTTGATAGTAAAGTGCTCTCATAAAAGTTGTCTTTCATCATGGAGCCTAAGTTGAAAAGTTGTGTTTTTTTAAATAAGGAAATCATGCTACAGACATTTTGGGAAGTAGAAATATTTTTATCAGGATCGATAATTTAAGGTTTAGATGATGATACTTTGAACTACAGAGGATATGAATAAACAAGGATGAAATCCCTCTACATGTGTGGGGAAACAGTAATCGGGCAAATAAAATGACATGCCACCAGTATCACCAGCTAATCAGGAGTAGAAACCAAGTCAATGGCTCTCATTCTCATTGTCTATCACAGTGGGGTTGTCACCTGGACTCCATGCCAGAGAATAAGTCCCAGAGAGTGATATTATATATATATATATATATATATATATATATATATATGTAAGAGGGTTCATAAATATAGATGTTTTCATCTCTATTCTCAAATTTTTTTAAATGCTATATATATCTCACAAGCATGGAAAGGACCTGACAAATTTTACCACAAAATTTCCAAAAATAAAGGTTAGTTTTAAACTCAAAAGAAGAGAAATAAAATGTGTATCACATAGCTAGTCTTTAAAAGTGTACATTTCCATCTTTGGGAAATTGTATGATATTAGCTTCCCATTAGTGTTCTCTTTTCTATTTCCTGTCTTATTCCCTCATTCCTTTCCTTCATTTTTCATTCTTTTCTACTTTCTGACTATTTTTCCCACCCTTCCTTTTTTTCTTCTTCCCCTTCTTTTCTTTCCTTTCTTTCAAATGCTTATTTACTTCCTTTTCTTGTCCTTTCATAATACAAAATAAGACCTACAAATTATGTCACCATACTCATGTGCTCAATGCCACAATGCCTTCATTTTTATTGGACAACTTTGTATCTGAAGATATATTAGTGTCTAGGAGTTTGTGACATCTTTGGGGTTTGGTGTCTTGAACTATTTTTTCAAATGTCAATGAATAAAACAGAAATGACCTATTGTTAATTTTCAAATAATCTTAGAAGCAAAATCAGCTTCATGTCAGAAAAATATGCATCAAGTATGATTAAAATTGAAAATCTTCATGAGGGTAAAAAAGTATAAATAACCAAAAATCTCGATGTTTAGTTATGTGATGATTTTTTTTCTATCTTCACAGAGTGCCTAAGTGTCTCTGGTATTCCTAGGAAACCAGATATTGGATGTCTCATAGATGAAAGTTCTCTAAAAGTTCTTAAGGCAGAGTAAAGTCATCTCTTGTTGTTGTACAACAACAATTTGGTGCTTTATGGGTTAAACAGACCACTTCTGTAAACTCAGAGAGGGAGGAGAGTTCTAGAAATGTGTCTTATACTATAAACCAGCCAGATAGGAGGAATACCTTTATGTGTAATAGTCACGTATATGATAGAATTCATAACTGACATAGAACAATCCAGTTGACTAATATTCAGGAGGCACCAAGAATTCTCTGAAGTTTTGTCACAGTTTTTAACAAAGCCTTCCTAGTATTTTCCTGTGACCTGTGTTCCTTCTCTTATTCATTACAATTAGCTTAGGGAAATGAACCCCTGTTATAACAAAGTTATTCATTAAGCAAAAAGCTAATCTCCTTCTCATCCAATAGGGTTGGCTAAGTCACCCAGCACCAGCAGCAGAAGTCTTGAGAGAATAAGAACCATTTATCCCTCTTTACTTTGCCTGCAAAAATTTAAATGTCAGCAGAAGCCACACTAATGACATATATAGGAGCTGGCGAGATGTGTGTGGTACAGGTACTGCCCAACCCAGGTACTTGGCGACTAAATAATGACTAGTAGTATAATAATACTCACAAAACTAAACTTATAGCATCTGGGGACAAACTGATGTTCTGTGGCACATTCACGTGGTAAGAAAAGTAAAAAAGATAACATACATGGACACCACTGCTTCCTTTGAATAATTGGAATGAATCCTTTAGTGAGAGTTCATAGATATAGATGTTTTCATATCTATTCTCAAATTTTTTAAATTGCTAGTAAAAAGACACCCCATGACCAGTGGAGCAGATACCTGTAGTCCAACCATACAAATTCTCTCTTTGACTGGGTCATATCTACTCCAGCTTGCTTATCCCTTCAAAGCCTGTCCTAACTCACCGCACTCAAAAGTTGGCGCTTGCTGTATGTTCTATGAAATATCCCGTGAGTGATTAAAATTAAAGTCATGAGAATTTTATCATACACTGCTTACAATATCTGCTTAATTATTCACATAGGCTTGTGTAAAAAGGAATGCCATTTTCCTTTCTGTCCTTACAGTTCGAGCTCAGTGATGTAGATGCCACCAGAGTTGGAGGTTTGCTGAAAGTATACAAACCTCCAGGCCTCAACAGTTGGCATATTCTGCACAGAAGTACGAACTTCAAGGTACCTATCGGATGAACATAAAAAGGTCATCTTAAGCATGAAACTATAAATGAACATTTAAAAATAAATGTTGTAAGCCAAGTGCTAAATGCTTAAGAAAATATCTGTACTTTTTGCACCACCTGAAAATTCAGACTTCTAATATGAAATTGACTAGAGTTGATAGAGGAATCCACATGAAGAGTCACTGGATGTACGAACATGTGGCTCCTATTCAAAGGAGATACAAATTTCTTTTGGAATACTGTGAGGTTTATGAAAAAATACTACACTCTGCATGCCTTACATATTTCTAGCTCTTCAGGCCAAGATCAAGGTGCTTGTAGACTTTTCTCCTCGTGAGGACACTTTCTGGCTTGCTGAAAGGAAGGGGCTGGTTTATCTTCCTCTCCATATAAATCAACTAATCCAGTCTCAAGATCTCAGCCTCTCAACATTATCTAAACTTAATTTCATCTCAAAAATCTGGTCCCCAAATATCACTGCCTTTGGGGATTTGGGCTTCAATATATGCATTTGGGAGGTGCAGTTTATAACAGAGGTATGAAGGAAGTGTGGTGGAAATGGAAATGCTTCTTCTGGAATAGATAGAATCAATTTTATAAATAGTGATGCCTTTATAAATTCATTATAGTCAATGTGACCTAAATTTGACTAAGATTGATAATGAAAGAATGTGATAGCTATTGGCACATATGTCCTTAACTGAGTATTAAAATACCTTATAAAACTACATTGATTTACTTGTATGAGATAAGACTGTAAATCAATAGAAGAGGTTAGAAAGTCTAAGAAAAGCATGTATAGGTATTATATCACAAGACAAGCATCCGTTTTAAGAATTAATGAAGTTAGAGAAATGCAAATGGATACATATATAGTCACTTCATAATTCATAGTATAAAATGAATCTAGACACTTGCAATTGAAAGTGTAGTACAGAACCTCCCAGTGGAAATATTTGGGGTCTTGTTGAATATGCAGAGGTCTGGGTTACATCACAAACTCTTTAGTCAATTTGGGCTGCTATAAACAGATTCCACAGAATCTACAGTGTAGATTGGCTGTCTTTCACAACAGAACATGATTTCGCCACGTTTCAGAGGATGGGAGCCATGTGTCCAGCTGCCAATATTGTCAGGCTCAGTCAATGTCACTCTTCATGGGTCCTCATATAAGGGAGGAGATGACTATGGAGAGACAGTGACAAATAGATGACAGACAGACAG